ACAGTCAGCAATTTATGTTATTGTGACCTGAAATTTAAAGATCCATATTTAGGCCATCCATTATCTATACACCGCTTAATCCTCACTAGGGTCGTGGGGGGCTGGAGTCTATCCCAGCTGACTTAGGACGAAGGCAGAGGACACCCTGGACAGGTCGCCAGTCTATCACAGGGCTACACTTAGAGACAGACAACCAAGCACACTCACATTCACACCTACGGACAATTTAGAATCACCAATTAACCTCAACATGTTTTTGGACTGTGTGGGAGGAAGCCGGAGAACCCGGAGAGAACCCACGCTGCACGGGGAGAACATGCAAACTCCACGCAGAAAGATCCCGGTGCCCCCACCGGGACACGAACCAGCAACCTTCTTGCTGCGAGGCAACAGAGCTAACCAACTGTGCCACCCTGCAGCCCCATATTTAGGCCAACATTTTGATTTTCTTTTTTACTTAGTGTTATAATCAAGGTCGTAATCACTAAACATCAAACACTGACAATTTTAGACATTAAAAACGACAGGAGAAAACGATATTTTTGTCTTCTTTTTAATTATGTTTTTGTTGAAAGATAAGAGACATTAAAAATCTTAATTGCCATATATAGTAAATACAGAGTCAATGATAATAATACCCAGAAAATGCCAACTATGAACATGTGGCATTTCCTTTTGTGTCTCTTTCCCATTTTTTTCATGAAAAAGTAAAGAGAACAAGTGGACACCCAGAGAGTAAACAATAACAAGTGTAGCATTCATTAATTGGGAATAAATCAAGTAAATATTTATGAAAAAAAAACAATAAAAACAAAACAAAACTAACATCGATATTAAGGTAAAGCAGCCTTGTCAGTTGAAACCTGAAAATGATATTCTACACAATATGAGGCATATACCGTTTAGCATATGTCCCCAACTTATTCTAGTGTCTAACAAATAAGTCCATCTTTAAAATCACTGTGAAGGTAATCTTTTCCATTTAGTAAATATCTGCCATTATTTGAGGAAAATGATATTTTCCTTAAAGCTATAAGTTACTGCATTTACCAACACAATGCATTCAGTCTATCACATGACTGTAATATATTGGGTAAAGATCTCTGCAACTAACTATTTGAATAAATTCCAACATGTAGCAATGCACAAAAAAGCTAGCAACTAACCTGTGAAGAAGGTCTCTCATATATTAAGTTAACAGCAGTTTTTCCAGGGATTGGTGGTGGGGACCAAAACAGAGTTTAAAGAAGTGAGAACACTGGAGTAATGTGGCCAAAGATATTACTTTAAATGAATGCTAATATATCTCATATGTGCATGTCAAAGTTGTGGGGTTCTTAGTTTTTCTGCCCTCAAGTGGCCACAAAGACATGCCCGTGCAGTTTTTAATAATCTATTTGATTATCCGTGTTTTCCATTAACCCCATTTTCATCCCACTGTTGCTGATGAACAACTCTGGCTTGACTTTTGTTACACAGCAACCCAGAAACCCAGAAAGGACGCCTCAAAATCCTGTTGCACAATATGTCTGAAACCACCTCCAGCTGCTGGTGCCGCCCTCTGAGAGCTGCTTTGTGATTGGCCACACTTTCATTGGGGTTGAATCCCCTCCATGACCTTTGTCAAATGTCATCAGTGCCCCGTCTCTTCAATCTTCTGCATCGCTCTCCATTTTAAACCTTCTATAATAGGAAGCCATAAAAATAATCTTTACTATCAGTGGCAGTCAGAGAGGAGAATCTCCACCTCATTACCACTCCTGTCTGAGGGGCTGATTATGGGACGGAAGGAGCGCGGCAGCAGAGCTGAGCCTGGGGCATCCTGGTGGGCTCAGCCTGCTAATGGCTGCATGGGGTTGAAATGCAGCTCATCCCGCACTGCTGCATCTCTCTTCACCTTCCTGCCACTCTTCACCGCACCTGTTCCCAAAAACTAAAGAGAAAGAAATGGAAAACTTAGGTGGGGGGGCGGGGGATGTCATGTCTCCAGTTCAATAAAAAAGAGCAGTAACAAGAGCAGTCGAATCTCACTCAATTATCGCCTGTTACCTCCCTGGATCCTTTTAATGATCCCACACAGACAAAGCACTGTGATCCCACTGTGAAACACCCGGTGATGAAATAAACCATTGTGTGTGTCCTCGCCCCAATATGCTAATCCAGGATTAATTATGGGCCAACCCTAATGAGTATCTCTCTCGCCCTCTTAGATATGTTAATGTACCAGCAGTGGACAGCATCAAGAGGCTTTTGTTAACTCTCTGTGTTCTAAAAAAGAGGGGCAGCACAGGACAGAAAGAGACCAAGGTTTAGTGGCCATAGATTATTTCAAAAAATATATCATCGCTGGAATCAAACAATCTTTGGAGTAAATTTGTAGTGATGCAAAGGAATCAGAGCAAGCTCACAGTGGATGGGGCTTTAGTTTCACATGTGGGTATGAAGACAAAAAGTGCAGAAGTGATGTTAAAATGACAAAAACACTGACCCATCTGATACGTCTATAGAGGGACAGTAGAAGATACCTGCCTCTCTGACAGCGCGTGTGGTGAGTTGTGTTTTTAGCCAATTACTTTCACAGGACGTGTAAATATGGGCAGAGCCGGAGGAGGTGTGCTCTTGTAACACTTTTATCTGTCTTGAAAAGGTGAGAGATAAAGACAGGGAGGTAGATCCATGTGGTAGTGTGGACAGATGTTTGTACAGCTTGGTAGATTGCAACAGAGAAGAAAATATGCTGCTTCAGGATCAATCCAGGTTGGAAACTTGTAGTAGTGTGTGACTTAGACCCCCGTCCAAGGGTCACATGGGAAATGTTAATAGTTGTAAGATGATGAATGTAAAGCTCTTAGTCTTACTTTTCTTTAATCGTTCTTCTTTGTGTCATTAAATATATTTACCTCTTTTGGTGCAAAACAGTCATGGAAATTAACCAGGCTGAGAAGTTTAGAAGCTAAATGTGTTGCTTTCTTGTTATTTTTTGTGTGTGTGTGTAACACGAGCCCAAAAGAAAAATAAAAAAATCACTGGTTTTAATCTATCCATAATATTGCTTATTAATTTGAGTTGAAGTCTAAACTAACAGATTTTTTTGTTTTTGTTTTTAACTTATGTCAAGTAGAAATGTTTTCTAATTGTACTTGTGTAAATACACTAACTGCACTCACACCGCCCCACTGTTTCCAAGGCTGATACAAAGCTCCTTGTTTTCAAGCCCTCCATCTCCAAAAGCATCAGAGCCTGGATCACTTTCATCCCATTGGTCATGTCACTTTTAAATACACATGCTCCAGTCCCAGCTCTGGAGGCAGGTACTCACACTCAGCCCTGCCACCTTCAGCTTCACTCAGGAAATTCATAGTCACATTAGTCTTATTAACAACAACAGTATTCTGTGCCTTTTATTGCTGCATTGTTTCTTTCACACTTGAAGAAACATACATTTCTTAGCATTGCAGATCAGCATTGTAGAATACGACGTCTAGCTTTATTGTTTTCATCTGACTTCAACATGCCAAGCGCACAGTGAAAAAAAAACAAAACAATATATATTTAAATTTTTCAAAATCAAGGTTGCCAAAAGGGTGCCAGAATTAATCTACCAAAGTGTTAAAAAACAAACAAACAAACAAACAAACAAACAAACAAACAAACAAACAAACAAACAAAGCAAAACAAAGTTAAAACATAGCTGTGAATATGCATGTAAAATAAAGACATTTATATTAAATATTTGCCATTTTTCTATCCTATATATACAGAATTTTTCTTTCAAATAATGGCAAATATCTGTGAAAGAACAATATTTTTTTTTTGGTAATTTAAATACAGTAAAAATATTGTAATTTATGTCCAATCATTGCAAAAGAAGGAATTTTCATTTATTCAGATTCAGATTTATGATTTGGACTTTTTTTTACAGTTGGGGCTTGTTTTTGTTTTGTTTTTTCTGCTGTTAAAATGTAAATCAGTATTTTTTTTCTGTGACTTAAAAGTTAAAAGTTATTATCTGCATTTTAACAAAATAGAGAAAATCTGTAAAGTAACAGCAAATTGTTTTGAAAAGATACAGTTTGAAAAAAGTGTGTTTTATTATTGACAGTAGTTGTATGTCAAGCTGCTCACAGTGCAAATCAGTTTCCTTTGGGATAATCAAAGGATGGATTCAAATTAAATACCTTTTAAATCAATAACACTGATAGCAACAGACTGATTCTCTGACTCAGTTTAAAGGAAACATGTTGTAGCTTCTCTTACTAACTGTCCTTTAGTTTTTCCTGATATATTAAACACACTGTGAGGAATTGAAGCAGATCTTTAGGAGAGGGTTTAAGTGTTGCTGTGGGGTTTTTTCTTGATTCCTCACGCTGGCTTTCATTGAGGACTCTTTCCACATAGGGTTGAAATTATGAGAAAAAACGCGCTCCTCTCTTGGAATTTGCGTGTAAATTGCATCCGTTTATAAACTGCCGAAGCAGAATGGTTCTCGCAGCCTCATCATGTGGATCATCCCTGCAGATGATCCACATGATGAGGCTGCGTCTCTCTCTCTCTCTCCCTCCGTGTCTCTCCTCAGAGTTTCTGTCCAAGGTGCTGAAATCTGCTGCTGCTGCTGCTACGGGGACATGTCACGTGACTGCAGGATGCTCAAGTGTGTGTGCGCGCACTCACGCCTGTGTGGGCTGTGCACGCGAAGCCTTCGGTCCTCATCATGAGCGATCGGGCTCATGAGCAAGGCTTGTGAGAGTCGGGGCTGCTGTAGTATGCTGCTCGCAGCGTGGACACATTAGCGCAGTCGAATGCGTAAACGGCGACTCTTGACGCGCATCGTTTTCTTCTTCTGCGTTCGCTTTCACCGTTGCAAACATCACAGTGTAGCAAGTGGTGATGGGCACGCAGGAGTGGGCTGCTGCCCACCAAGTCTGACTGTGTTTCGGACGTGCTGAGATGAAGAACATGTAAGAATCCGCAGGCATCCCCGCAGATCCTTTTCAGCCAAAATGCAGAAGGGGATGAGACTCAATGATGGCCATATCACCTATCTGGCTCTTTTGGCGAAGAAGGATGGGACGAGGCGAGGTTGCTTGAGTAAGAAGAGCTCAGACAACACAAAATGGCATTCAAAGTGGTTCGCTTTGTTGCAGAATATGCTGTTTTATTTCGAAAACGACTCCAGCTCACGCCCCTCCGGACTGTACCTGTTGGAGGGATCTGTTTGTGACAGGGCGCCGTCACCCAAACCGTCTCTGTCCGCGAAGGAATGCTTAGAGAAGCAGGTAAGATATCGATCGCACGGGGAGCTCCCTTAAGTCTGACTGACTGACACTGTCAAGGTAATCGCTCTCAGTGAGCGGGGACGCACGGAGCGCCGCCGCTTGTTGTGCTGCTCTTTGAAACTCATCACTTTGGCTCTGCGTTAAAACGCCATTTATGAGGGGAGCTTGTGTCTTGTAGACGCAGCAGAACACATATGTGCATTTATCAACATGTTCCCACTGATGCTTTTGCAATATAGTTCACTTGACGTCCAGAGTTACGTAATAGCGTCATCCAAACTGATTGATTGTCTTGATTCTGCACTAAAATAGCCTCACAGGCTGCTGCAAAGGGAACTCACTAAATGCGTAATATATCTATCTATATATATATATAAATCACAGAGGCTCAAAGTTAGCAGGATTAATGCAATTCTCTGTGCAAACTTTGCAAACTATTCCACATACATCCATCATGATAGTTTCTATTCATCACAATTATATATAACGCACTGTATTTTTAGACAACATCCAGGTAATGCAGCACACACACACGTATATATATATAAGGAGTAAACTTAAACTGCATCCAAACTTTGTAGGTTGCCATCTTGCGGAGGAGAGCTGCCCCTTCCCTGTCGTTTTGACGTATTGATTTAATTCCTTGTCTTGATATTAATAGCATCCTACCTTGGCAACTGTGTCTCCCCGGTTTATAGTGGCTGGGTTCATTTGATAGCTCTCTCATTATCATGGGTTGTTAACGACAGCCATGAATGAAAATGAATGAAAACCAAAACGATGTCCCAGTCATGCTTTTGTTTCTCACTACACCCCCCCACCCCACTCCATTCGTTTTAATTCCTCCGGCATTTAGTGCCATGGATTATCATGTGTGAGGGCTAAACAATTTCCACTGTGTGTGTGTGTGTGTGTGTGTGCGTGTGTGTGTGTTTTTTAATGCCAGCGACACAGTCAGAAATAATCTCAGTGAAAGCACAGTGGCCTCCGATGAAAGCGGTTGGAGGGGTTAGGAAGGCAGCTGCTGACAGAACTAAACATTGTGGCATAAAAGCATTTAAGAGCCAGAGAAGTGGTCAAGCTGCTGTGAGCTATGACTGCAGTCACCTTCTGAAATCTGCTCTGCCAGCTGCAGTCTCTTCTGCTTTCCCCTGCAGCACAGGGAATAGACCACTGGAGTTACAAGACAGAGTGACGGGTCATTTTTTTATCTCTCCAGTAATGATAATCTTAGATCAGGACGAACTGCCAGTTGTTTACACTCCATCTAGAATCAAAGACAACAGCTTATTATTGCAAACTTGCACACGCCATGCTCGTATCCTTGCATTGGAGTGTTTTTATCTTTTGCATATATCCTGTTGGACATTTCATCCATTCCATCAGGGTGGCTGGACTGGAAATGAGGCTTCAGGATTGGGACTTTGTCCATAAGGCTGCTGCCCCTTGGAGTATAAAATACCTCCAAAACACGATTGATCAGCTCACACAGCAGCAAAAATATGGCTTTAGTCATTTATAAAAATCCACTTTAAGTCTTAAGAATCTCATGAATAAACAGCAATAAAAGAAAAGAAACATGTCTTCAGTTTTCTTGTCCAAAATCCCCCCAAATCCTAACATTTTGGTAAGATAAATGTTCAGCATTTTCTGTATGTTCCATGTGCTGTGTTGGTTAATTATGCCTCATGTTTTTAGCAGATCTTATTTCAGATCACTAAAACAGCTGAGAAACCTCTCTGCTCAAAAACACTGATGAAGCCACTCTGGAAACATTTGATCATATTTGTATTCTGATGCCACGCTATTGGACTCAATTTTCACTTTCACCCAGCCTCAAAGAAAATCTGTTGAATTATGCAACTTCTCTCTGATAAACATTGTACAAGTAGTTTTGGATCACACTCCTCTGTTGCAACATTTGTATTTTTTTATTTTATTTTTTTTAATTGTATAACCTCTGAGGAGGACAAGAGAAGGATGGAAGCAAATCTCTGATCTCTGACTTGAACAGCGACTGGATGTACCTGGTGTCGCTGTCCATGGTGCTGAACTCTGCTGCCACATGCTCTTCAAACGCTTGCCCTCTGCTCTTTGTGGACAGAGCTGTCAGGATTAGTATCAGTGTCACTGAGCGCTGCACAGATGTGCCAGCAGAACTCAGACATTTAAGTTTGTTTTATGTAACCATCAGATTACAAAAACATCAGGACAGATTTGTCACACAAACGGTACAAAAACACTTGGTTGTTTGTTTAAACATGCCTTCTGGACAATCATTGGTAATCAAGAAGCCTCAATTAAGCTGACATTAGCCAAGATAAAGCTCTGACTAGTCATTTTTGGAGGTGTTTTTTTTACAAGACGCTGACATCCAGTCTTTCTTTGAGGACTTGTTGGTCGGTCTCATGGGGTGTTTAACTTTGTTCACTTTTGAGCCCATTTTCTTAAAACCATGTCAGGACAAGAGGCATGCTCTGTTCTGCGGATGAAATGGGAACTGAGTGACATCTACGGTGACAGCTGTTCATGCAGACTGCTCCAGTGAATTTATTTCAGCAGTGAATTAATTGAATTTGAAAGCCTTCAATTAGCATAACACAGTCTTCTGTTCAGCACGTGTCCCTTTATATAATATGTGTCAGGAATAAATTCTCTCAGTTTTGTGTCATTTGTGCAATTTTTTTTTAAACCGGTTTATTAAACGTGCACACATATGTAAAAATATTTTGCACTGATACTTGTTCTCCGTGTGTGCGAGCTGCACACTTTGCAGCGTGCAATCAATCGCGCCCGTATGTGTCCACACCTGTGCATCTTGTGGGACTCATCTCATCTTGCGTGCATGCCTCGAAGTCTGCCTAACTGTGTCCTCCCGCATACGCCAATGTCGATCTATAAAACTGAGCGGCTCCACAGAAAAGGTGAAATGAGGACAGAAAGAGCAATCAATGCTCCAGGTGTCTGAGGGCATACAGATTTCCTTTTTACTTTCTCCCACTCTGGAAAAAACAAAGACTGACACCTGAGTCAATGAGCAGACTGCAGAGGTCGTCAGAGGCAATGCTACTGTACATTCCTGACATTAAACCTGTTACATGTTCGGATTACGGCAGATTTTTTTATTTATTTTTTTGCTTGTTTTTTTGGTTCAAGGCTTGTGTGCTGTGTGTCACCGACTGTGTGTGTGTGTCAGAGCTACAGGAGGAATGGCCAGGAGAGTGCTGGATCTTATCTGTGTGTGACAGGGAGAGGGACAATGCAGCGAATAGATGCCAAGCCAACTGCCACCTTGCAGGGCTACAGCAGCTTTTTATAGCCCTCACTCCTCAAAAAAAGGCAAAAGATCTTTCTCTCCCTCCCCTCTCCGTCTATCTCGCCGTTCTCATTGTATTCTTTGGAGTGTTCTACTTTTTAAATGTTCTTATTCCCCATTTAGAAGGCGAGCTACGTTTAAGCCCACAGTTACTATGGCAACCCCTATTTGCATCTGAAAAAGTACATTTGAAGGGGCCAACAAAATGTGCAACAACATGCCTTGGCATTGTGCTCCATTTAGCAAGTACAGCAAATCTGGGCATATGAGAAACGGGCGGTGGGTCGTCTCAGGTGGCGGCGTTTGTGTCGGCTGCGTGTTTTCTTTTTTTTGTCCCCCCCCCCTTCGTTATTTATTTCATTTAAGACTAATACATCTGCAGCAGTATATTATCAGTATCCACATGTGATCACTGGGCTGAATTCATAGTATAATCTTGAAATGTAGGTTACACAATAAACCTTTTCTTTTTTTTTCTATTTATATAAACAGCACGACTGTGGCCAGTTTGAAGCAACTGAAATAATCTGCACCCAGAACAGAGGCTCTAAAAGACAACACCAGAACAAGTGGGCTCCACACATTTCAAATGTGTGGAGTGTCAATGGGAGTGTTAATTCATTTTTTCTTATTTAATTATTTAAGTTTAATTTAGACCAGTTACACTTTTAGCTTACTGAAAGTAGTTCAAGTTATGCAACAAACATTTCCATGTGTACATAACTCTGGTGTTTTGCTGACACTGGCTCTACCTCCTCATTGCACGCTTTACTGCTGCAGCTATGTCTAACATTAAGATGTTTTAGTAGTCAAAGTGAAGCGCTTTTAAAAGTCTAATTTGATTGAGAAAGGCTTGAAGGAAGATGAAATGATTCTGAGGTGTATTAACTGGAGGTTGCCTCCATCATTATCTTTACATAAGTGTTATCGTTTGTCCTTTTCTCAAGTCCAGATTAAATGCAATTGTTTCTGTTCACAGGTTTTAAACAATGACTTCCTACAAGCTATGTTGTCTCACTTACCAACAGATATTGTATCTGTGGCAAAAAAAAAAAAAAAAAAGTGTAGTGACGTGGAGTTAAATATAGCCGCCTAAAAGGCTTGACACACCAGCTCACAGGATGCGAGAGATGGGAAGCACATTATTGACAAAGGCCCGTTCTGCTGCTCATCAGGAAATATGGAACATTACTCCTCTTCACAAATGATTTGCTCTTGGCATTTGGGAGGGATAAAAAAATCCAATATATTGGATTTGTGGGGGTCTATTTACAATGCATCAGTGTTATATAATTTGATGCGTTTCTACTACAAACAGGCTGCCCGCACTAATAGTGCAGTGACCACCACTCTGTTGATTTGAAGGATTTTCTAATCTCATAAGCCTATTAGAAAACAATTCCACATGAATTTGTCATAATTGCCATAACTGAACCTTTAAGGCTGTAAGGTCAGCGGAGATAATTGGTGAGAGAGTAGAAAAGGGCTGAGGACTCATAGGTGTCTGTGTCGTTAAAACGCAGCCAAATCACCAGAACAAAGCAAAAACTAAACTAAACAAAAAACATGGCGTCAGTCGACAGGCTTCGGCCAATTCAGAGGTGAGTTGCCAGGTTACAGACAGAATGCACAGAGGCTTTATAATGAATCTCTCAAGACTTTCCCCTGAGGATCTCTCTCCCTCTCATTCACACACACGTCAGTGCACGCATTTATACATGGAACTTCAATTTCAACCAAATGTGGGTTTAAGGAATAATTAGTCAGCGATGATCATAGCGTGAGGTTCTTTCTTTCTTGTTCCACTTCTAATACATTCTGATATCTCATTATATGCTGAACAAACACTTGTGCCTCTCTCTCTCTCTCCCTCTCTGCTTTTGTTTTCTAGTATTACTTCACCGTCACATTCAATCATGACAACCAGAAGGCTTTGGAGCTGCGCACAGAGGACGTCAAGGACTGCGATGAGTGGGTGGCTGCCATCACACAGGCCAGGTACCGCTCACACATGACCTCTCACCTACATGCACACCATCAGCTGTTCTGAAGGCCAAGATCTGGTCGAGAAGTGCAGCTTACATGTGCAGCATCACTGAATTTAATCAATTGGTGACCGACATTTTACCTAATAGGGGTTATGTGAAAACCTTCTTGCAGCTGTAATTTTTGAAGAACACACGAAATGAAATTGAAATGGGGTTGAAACATTTATTGACCACAGATTAGAATATAATTCACCAGAACTGGAGATACAAGGTTTCCACAACAACATGAAAATGGTCATTTACAGGACGTCTTGTAGCCTGATGATTAAAAATGCAAAGAAAAGAATCTTAACAAGAATCAAAGCACTGCTCGCGACTTTGTGATGCTGTGATCGTAGCATTTACTTTGAGCTACATGCTAACATCAATAACACACAATAAACAACAAGTACAGCTGAAATATGCTGTCATATACCATTTTTAATTATTTTTTTTACTGCAATCTATTTAATATTTTAGCAAGAAAATAGATATTTCTGCGTTGATATTCCTGGTTTGTGCAAGTTAGTGTGCACACTTCAGAGCAGCCTCATCCAGCGAATGGGATGCTAAGATGTGCACTATAACGCTTTCATTTCAAGCAACCAGAATTACAAATAAACTTGTCCACATTTTCTCTATAACTTCCTGCCAGGAATCCCATTAGATGCATATTGTGTAGGTCAAAATTTGAGGTCAGAGTTCAATTAATATGAAACTTTATCCACAGCCTGATGGACAATCAGCATCATGTGTGTCCTTATGGCTCAGAAAATTCTTTCCAATATGAGAGAACTTCACAAGATAGATTACTGGAATTGTCTCCAGTGCAACATTTCAATCAATAATATATTCTTCACACGCTTTTTTTCAGGCACAAATGGGAAAAAAAAAAACCAAACTGTATATAAATAACTAAAACAAAATGGGTATTATTGATATTGATCATTGATTTATAGAGTCTTCACATTTATAATGAGTGAAATGCCCCCTTTAAGATTCAGGAACAAAAGAGGGTCATGGAAGCCAAGCGATGCCGTCACTCTAAATGTCAGCAGTGTGCATTTGTACGGCAAAAGGTCAATTGATTGGGCTCATTGAAGATTATATTGATTAGAGCTCAGTAAAGGCAGCAGCACTTAATGTACAGGACTAAGTTGGCCTGTAATATTGTAATGCCCAGCAGGCCAATGCAGACCTGTGTTTACATAACTTCATGGAGATTTTTTATTTTTTTTTCTGATATCTGGATGCTACATGATTTCAATGGCTTCTTTCTTTTCACTACTTATATTCTTGTAACAGTTTGTGAATTTAAACTGCTTTTTGAACATTTCTGGAGACATTGAGATTTTGAGGCCTGAGGTCCACAAGCTGCAAGGAATCAACTGCACTGATTTAAAGCCTCGCATTGCACGAGCATAAAGTGTTGAACTGGGTAACGTACAGAATTATTGCTCATGCCGAAGCAGCTTTTAAACACGGTGTGCTAAGCCTCCAAGTATTTAAAGAATTGGTTGCGTAAGCGCACTGCACTCTGTGTGGACGTAAGGTCTGTGGTTCAAACGTATGCTGATCAGAGGTCTGCTTGTGCTTTGATAAACGTATGGAGGGTCCATGAAAGGTGCGTTAATGAGGCCCTTACAATGTCTGTGCGTGTGTATCTGGATAGTTACAGGAACCTGGCTACAGAGCATGAGACCCTCATGCAGAAGTATCTTCATCTACTCCAAATAGTGGAGACGGAGAAAACGGTTGCCAAGCAACTTCGACAACAGATAGAGGATGGGGAAATCGAGATAGAGCGGCTAAAATCAGAGGTAACTCGCCTTGAAATTTCATGCTAGTAATACCTGTGTGTGTGTTTGGTTTTATTTTATGGTACACAGCGGAGATGGAGAGAGGAACAATGACAGGAAAAGTATTCAGACATAGAGGATAAAGACAGAAAGTGGTCACAGGACAAAGGTCACGATCCAGATTCCAAAATCATAACGCTGTGAGTTCACGGTGAACGTTGCAGCTCGCAGGACGTCTCTGTTAGAAACTCAGCAATACTGTTGAGTGTTTTGTATCCTAATTATTCAGTCTAAACTAGATCAAATGCACCTCTCTTTAATGTGCTAATGGCCAGCTTCAATTGAATTGAATGTTTTCAATATGCATGAATCAGCTTGTGTTGTACATGATAGCGCAGTCTGCACCAGCTCATCTACTGTCTCACTTTTCATGGCTTCAGTGCATACTAGTAATGGACTTTGGGTTGCTTTGTCTAATTTCAGTCCATTATTTTCCTATTCAGATGCTGCGTATAATGGGAGTAAATGTAACAGGCTTGAATAAAATACAATAAGTGACATTTTGATGTGGCTGGTACAGTTTCTGCACGTATGAATTCTTTGAAGCAGCTAATGGATGATAACAAAGTTGAACAACAACAACAAAAAACAATTTAGAACATTTGTAAAAGACATTAATAATCATAATAAAACATGCAGTGGAGTGAGAGAATATGAAATGGCCATGATCAGGAACATGATTTTGATTGTATACAGTGTGTCATATTAGTCCACTGAGTTGGTCCCACACTGGCTGTGTTGAATTTCAGATCGCTGGACTGCTGAAGGACAATGAGAAGATCCAGTCAAATCCAGAGGTGCCACCCAGTGAGGATGATACAGAGATCAAAAAGATCAAAAAGGTAAGATGTGCTTGCTCTGTTGCTGCGCAGTTTTAAAGGGGAATACCCACCTCATCGTTGTTGTTCTTTTTAATTCAGAAAACCAAAGTAATGCAAACAGGGAAACGGGATTGGGGGGTTTAGGAAAAGATCTGCTTCAGCAGGGATATGTGTAGTATCTGAGACAGGTTTTTTAAAAGCTACATCATCTCTGGCACCTGCAGGTTTTATTTTTAATCTTCATTTATTCAGGGAAGCTCACACTTCCATTTACAGCAGGGAGCACCTCATTCACTACAACCACGGGTTTGCTTCTGTCTGCAGCTCTACTGAAGCGACTGACTGATCCTAAAAAAGCTGGAGAGTTTAGGATCAGTCACTTTCTCTCAGCTCCACTCGGTGTTTTATTGTCTTTTAACTCATTGTTTTGGTTATCCAGCTCTCAACTAACTGGTCCGGTTCGGTCTCAGTAGTCGTTACTTCCAACCATTAAAGACAGCCCAAAGCAGCATTTAAGAAAAACCCAAGTGTTTTGCAGGAGAGTGAAAACTTGACTGACATTTGTCACATCGGTAGAAACATGACTTCAAATAAATACTGGTGTTTGCAGGATGTCTAAACCAACAGAACAGCCTGAAGATTCTCCAAAGCAAGATTTGTTATGTAATGTGATGGTAGTGCTGTCACTTGCTGTACTGCCCCCAAAAGGCCAAAATAAACTCTGCTAATTGTGATGCTATCAGAGCTAGCTTTAACTTATTGTCAAGTTGGAAAAGACTGAACTTGCAATTTTCAGAAACAGGCTGCAAAAAGAAAAATATTACTTCACGTTTTTACATTCAGCTGAGTTATAAGTAATATAAGCAAATTGAAAGTCCAATGTTTGTTTTACTTTTTGCCCAGTTTTTGGTCTCCACCAAGTCCTGAAGTCAACTTGTGTCATCTGGTTCTTAAGCTGATACGTGTTGTAGAATTTTTAAATGCTAGGTGCTGATCTGAATTGTCCGCCTGCTGCTTGGTGCACTAGTGGCCACCTACAGTTCAACAAATCCCTAAATTTGTGGACAAAAAAAAACAAACGTGACTAGAAAGATGCAAAGATGAAGGGAGTTACAGAAGTGGAGGCATTTATTATTGTTATTGTTATTATTATTGTTATTAGTGAATTTTCTGTCATGACTGTTGGTTGTGCTGAGGAATGCAGGTTATTTTTGTTTTTAACAGAATCAAACAGTTTAGTTTTTGTGAATTTTTAAATGTGGCATAACACAAAATAAAGTTACTTTGATGTAAAGTCGTGATTTCAAGCTTTGATTTAGGTAATTTTGCCAAACGAGCTGCGCATCACAGATGATTAGTTCATGGATTGTCGGAAAGTTAAAGAAACGTGTTGATTCTTTCTATTTTAAATTTCAACTTGTAATAAATCATGCATACTTAGCCTTTGTGTGCTAAACATTTTTTTTGTCACAGGTCCAGAGTTTCCTGAGAGGCTGGATTTGCCGCAGGAAGTGGAAAACCATCATCCAGGACTACATCCGCTCACCCCACGCTGAGAGCATGAGGAAGAGGAACCAGGTGGTATTCAGCATGCTGGAGGCCGAGGCCGAATACGTCCAGCAGCTCCACATCCTGGTCAACAACTTCCTGCGGCCGCTCCGCATGGCCGCCAGCTCTAAGAAGCCCCCCATCACCCACGACGACGTCAGCAGCATCTTCCTCAACAGGTAGCTGCTGGTCCGACTGCTTGTGACAGTGGTGTGACTCAGCGCAGCGCGAGCTGTGGAACACTTATGAACGGGAGAAATAGAAACAGGAGCTCATGACCACCATTTTGCTTATTTGTTTCATTAGTGAGACCATCATGTTCCTCCACCAGATCTTCTACCAGGGCCTGAAGGCCAGGATAGCCAGCTGGCCGACACTGGTGCTCGGTAAGACATACAGATCCCACCAGTCACCAACACAATTCAAGAGCAGACTTGATTATAATTGGATTTGTTAAAGGGTCAGTTCACCCAAATGATATTTCAGCTAATTTAATCAATTCATTCTGGACTTGATTTTAGATATCTCCAGTACCACTACGTTTTATGACACCATATTACAGAGATTGTGTTTGTGGCTCTCACACTTATTATGTATAGCAAAGGTTCCTTCACAGATGGTGTCATTATTACTGATAATTCTCACTGAGAACAGTTAAAACAGTCATTTTTTCAAAACAAGGACCTAATGATTTAACAGATATCAAATAAATCCCCACTTTCTAAATGTATGTATTTGTAGATAGTTTCACAAATAGAGATCACCTGACTTTTCTTTCATTTGTTTTTTGTCTTTTTTGAGTCTTTATGTGCAATCTGTGTGAACTATTTTATGTTTAACACACACAAAACGTACTAATGTTCACTAATGTTGCTGCCTCTCTTTCCAGCTGACCTGTTTGACATCTTGCTGCCCATGTTGAACATCTACCAAGAGTTTGTGAGGAACCACCAGTACAGCCTGCAGATCCTGGCCCACTGCAAGCAGAACCGAGACTTTGACAAGCTGCTGAAGCAGTACGAGGCCAAGCCCGACTGTGAGGAGAGGACGCTGGAGACGTTCCTCACTTACCCCATGTTTCAGGTACGACTCCAGGGTTCCAGCGCAGACGACTGCAGGAATGTTGCATAATTCAAACACAGTTTAATCAAGTAGTTGTTGGTCTGTAATTTACATGGTTTTCTGTTCAAACTTGTAAATCAACTGCCTTAAAATTCCTACTATTTATTTAAAAAACTCAAGGTATTGTACTCTGACTAACTTTGATGACGTACTACGATGAATGAAGAAACTTGTAGCAAAACACCAACATGTGTTGGTGTTGTAATACATCTGAGGGAACTAGTGCAGCTTTTTATTTTTCCATTTTCTGACTTCTACCACAGTTAAACTATTGCACAAAATGGCTCATAACTGTGTTGTGTCAAAATCACACTGTGTATTCGTAATCAGATTAATAATGCAGCAGTAACGGAACTTGAAACTTTGAGTTTCATGTTTCTAAGAGTCTGCTCATTGTGAAATGTCACTTTAGATGTGATGTGTTGGAATGAACAACTTGTCCAGTCTATGTTTCCTAAACTTCAGTAATGAGATTACATTTGTCTCCACTAGAAGCAGCAACAGTTGTTGACTTTTGTCACTCACATGAAACAAAGACTGAGGTTTTCAAAGCGACACCACAAGCACAATAATAATGCTGTTCGCAAGTCATTGTTCAACTTGCACCACTAAAATAAATCAAGTGACAAAATGGAGTTAAATCTTTATTATCAGTTTTTTATATGTTTCATGTTATTTTTTTATTGTTTAGGTTTTGGTTGATGCTTCAGAATATACAGAATTTAGGAAAAAAAAAAAAAAAAAAGTCATTATTTTAACTTTCAAATTCTGTGTTTTGCACTTGTGGTTGGACTGTACCATTACCACAGAAAAGACTCTACAGCCAGCCATAACATACAGTGTGTCTGGGAATTTACTTGATTGTACGATGCTGTGTATATTACATAACATACTTCATGGCTGGTTTAATTACATTTTTTTGTTTCAGGTAAAAGTGAATCATTGGCTTTCTGGTTAATAAAAGTAATAGTTGAAGCAATATATTTTATAAAATTCCACCGTGATCTTTCATTCTTTCAGGCTGGACAGTCCCTATGACCAACTAATTAGCATGTCAAGGCCATTAGAGTCACGAGGCTTGACACTGCTTTCTGAACAGCTTGAAATCTCTTGACTCTTTAAAGTTTGAAATGTACATTATATACAAAAATTCACTTCACGAATAGAACACATTCCTTTCTCTTTTTCCCTCTCAGATCCCTCGTTACATCCTGACATTGCATGAGTTGCTGGCTCACACTCCCCATGAGCACGTGGAGAGAAACAGTTTGGACTACGCCAAGTCAAAACTGGAGGAGCTTTCCAGGTAGACCTGTTGTCAGTCAAGAAGTTGAATGTGTTTTGTAAATTTCACTGTGTGATACAGCTCAAAGGAGCGAAATAATAAAATAAGCTTAGAAGCATTGATTCTAAGATTTAAAGATGAGAAAAACAAACAAGACTGGCACTAAAGCACCAATGCTGCATTTGAAGCATGAGCTACACAGAGATTTCTGTCATATCCGTGTAACTTTCTGGTCAGTCCTCTAAGTTCATGTGAGGTGAAGATGGACCAAAATGACACAGAATTGGGGAAATCCATTAGAAAAAAGAAAAAAATAGAAAAGCGCATACAGCTTTAACCGTTTAACTGTGAAATCATGGTTGCTTATTGACCTTTTAGAATCATGCATGACGAGGTTAGCGAGACGGAGAACATCCGGAAGAACCTGGCCATCGAGCGGATGATCGTAGAAGGCTGTGAGGTGCTGCTTGACACCAGCCAGACATTCGTTAGACAAGGTGAGTTTCAAACCCTCACCCTGAACAGAAGACATTAATTTTTACAGTCACTGGTTTATTGAATGACCTTTAGGTTCACTGACCATCCAGGAATGAAACACTCTGAACCGCATGTGAACGAAATCCCTCACTACTGTCATACAAATGAATTTCTCCTTTATTTTAGGAGGTTTAAAGTTTGACACACTAATTTCACATTATTTTACAGTTACAGTGGAGGGAAACATTTTGTGTGTTTGACTACTACGTGCACAGATCTGCTAACAATACAACAGGCACGGCTCTGAGAGTGTCATTTAGTTTTCTTTTTTATCAATATTTTTTTTATTTCCAACTGCAACATGTGCACTTAATGTATGACAAACTTTTGGTTACATTTGAGCTTTAAACCTCAGAAACAATTTAGAAGATGTACAGCTGGGTCCTTTGGTAGCTGTACCTTCATTAGTTCTGTCAGAGTTCTGATAACCATCTCCGACAAACATTCCCATACAACATGTATAAATGAGCCAACAGTTCCATGGGGGCAGAAGGAGCAAAATGGGTGAGGGGCCAATCCCATCTGGTGTTTAATTCTTGGTGTTAAGTATGCTCTATGGCAAAATGTATGTACTGATGATTTGGATTTTTTGAGATACTGGTAGTATTTGCCCAGATCCTATCCCAGTTTAATTTTTTTCCTAATTCCGTTAAGTCCCTGTCCCAAGCTTTCATTCCTGATGTTGCCTTGTATATCTGGGACTTTAATTTATCGTAGATATAGGATACTAGTCATCCTGGAGCATATCCAGTATTAAATGGGATGGTCCTTCAAGCCTGACCCCCAGGGAACCCCATAGGCTTTACAGGCTGATCTTATTCTGAAGTAAAAGAAAAGAGAGTGATTGTCAATGTTAAAACGAGAGACAAGTTCTTCAAAAGTGGGGATTATATCAAACCCGTTAATATCTTGAAGAGTAATAATACCGTTATCGTCCCAATTTTTGTTAGTAAATGGTTTCCCTCCAGATAAAAGGTTGCTATTGTTCCACAGTGGTGACGAACTACACCACACACTTTGAACTTTTAGAAACCTTTCTACTGAGCTAAACACTTTTAACAAAAAGGATATAATTGGACCAAAGTGTAGGCCACATTTCTTGGTAGACATGTCTATAAGAAGAAAGCCCGTTACCCTTATTAATGCTATTAATTCTTGTTCTAAGTTTTTCCATGAAAACACTTTTACCTCCTCAATCCAGTAACTGATGCTGTTTAATATGAAAGCCCAGTCATATAGTTTAAAGTTTGGACATACCATTCCTCCATCTGTCTTTTTGTTTGGAAGAACTGACCATTTTATGTCGGGGCGTCTTCCACTTGAAACATAAGGCTGCAATAGGGAGTCAAGTTTTTGCCAATATCCAGCTGGGGGCACAAGTGGGATCACTGAGCTGGTAAAGTTAACGCGGGGTAAGATGTTCATTTTGATGACTGAAATACGGGCTGGGACTGACCCTGGCAGGTGTCTCCATCTATTGATGTCTCCTTCAGATTTTGATAAATAATTTTGTATCCTGAAAGGTATCCAAATTTGTCCAGTATTTTTAAGACATATGGGAGGGTAACTTGCACGTTCGCCAAGTAAACTAATGCATCGTCCGCGTACAGCGAGATTGAATGGGAAGTTCAACCAATTGTAATAGCGGACAACTGAGGAGAGTTTCTAATCATTTCTGCAAGCGGTTCAGTAGATAAATTAAAAATTAAAGGAGACAATGGGTCACCTTGCCGTGTGCCGCGTTTTAAATCAAACACTTCTGAGATGCTTCCTCCCACACACATTCTAGCTGAAGGATTAGCTTACAGTGTTTAGATCATATTGATGAATTTATCTCCAAACTTGAATTCTTTTAAGACCCTCTAGAGATACGACCACTCGAGGCAATCAAATGCCAAATCTAGAAACAGGAGTCCACAGTCAGGTGGAATTTACTGAGTTGCACCCAGTATGTGCAATAGTGGATCTGTTTGATCTGGGCTGATTATTTTCCCAATTAATAACTCAAGTTTACTAGCTAGTACCTTAGAAAATATCTTGAGGTCGGCGTTTAGATTGGGTGGTAATTGGTACACTCTAAGGGGTCCTTACCAGGCTTTGGTATAACAGTGATCAGGGCCGTATTCAGGTCTCGATGGAAGGCCCCATTCTCAGTGGCATAATTTAGTGTGTCCAACCATATTGGTCCCAGAATATCCCAAAATGCAAGGTAGAGCTCCACTGGTATGCCATCTATACCTGGCGTACGGCCCTAGTTTGTATTTTGGACAGCCTTAGATCATTCAGAGTAATCGGGCAATCTAAAGTTTTGATGTCCTCTAATGACAATGTTGGAAGATTTAGTCCGTGAAAAAACTCTGTGAAGTCATCATCAGAAGGGCCCGCATTATTTGTATACAGTTCTTTAAAATGTTTTTGAAAAGTCTCATTTATTTCCTTGGTTGAAGACACAACTCTGCGTTGGGTACATTTAATCGCTAGTATTGATCTTTTTGGTTTCCTGCTGTTTGAGGGTAAGTGCCAGAAGACGGCTTGGTTTGCTGCCCTCTGCATAGTACTTATGTTTAGTTATATGGATCATATACTCAGCTCTGCTTCTCAATAAGTCATTTAATTCTGCTTGTTTTGTTTTAAGCTCATTTTCTTTTAGGACTGTGTAATTGCTAATAATTTCATTCTCCAGTGCCTTACATTGCTCTTCAAGGGTAGACATCTTTTGGAGCTAAGTTTTATGTAAATGGGAGCTAAACTGTATGGCATTATTTCATAGGAAACCTTTGATGGAAGCCCAAACCACTGTCATATCTGAGACACTATTTTTGTTTATAGCTATGAATTCAATCAATTTTGTTCTCACATGCATTAAAAATTTCTTGTTTTTTAAGAGAGTGGAGTTCAGCCTCCATACGGTTTCTTGCAAGGTTTCCATCTCCGTTGCCATTGTTTGCTTGATTAGCATAGCCACTTCATCGGCTGAATCATTAGCTTGCTGTCGCTTGTTATCCAGTTTCTTGTTCGAAGTTGTATCTTTTTTGGAAGTCATGTCTTCAGTTAAGCTTCAGCTAATTCTTCAAGTTGAATTTAGACAGTTTTTTGACAGTTAGACAGTAACTTCGAAAAAGGAGGGTATTGGGTCAGCACTCAGTGTCGTGCAGCCATCATGCCTCACGCTTCACCAGAAGTCCATTCATACTCTTTTCAAAGAAAGTTATAAGATCTGTTTATGAAACACTGAGAAAAAATTGCCTGTGTTGCTAGTGTGTTTAATACGTGTGTGTGTGCGTGACTCCACAGGTTCTCTAATCCAGGTGCCAATGAGTGAGAAAGGGAAGATCACGAGAGGCCGACTGGGTTCGTTGTCTCTGAAGAAGGAAGGCGAGAGACAGTGTTTCCTCTTTTCCAAGCATCTCATCATCTGTACCAGAGGCTCTGGAGGAAAACTACACATCACTAAGGTACAGCAGGATCTTTTTACCCCCAATCATATCATCATATAACATATTTCTGCAAAATAGCTCATCCTGAGGGGCCATGCTTGATGATTTGCTGTATGTGACCTTTAACCCCATCACAGAACGGAGTGGTGTCTCTCATAGACTGCACTCTGATGGAGGAGCCGGAGGGCACAGATGATGAGTGTAAGTTACAGTGTGCAATATACTCATGTGTTTTCTTGATATATATGTAGAGGTTGTTGAGTCTGTACTGTATGTGGTAGCTGAAACATCAAGTAAAGTCGCGTTTAAAATCTTTGCTATACGTATTATCTGTTTAATATTATCTTACAGAGAAACTGCAGCAACCTGCTTGCTGAGAGTTGTAAGAGCCAGTGAATTATCAAAACTGTACAAAGCATGTTTCCCTCTTTACCATCCTAATTTTCACAGATATATATAAGAAAACTAGGGTGAGATGAAATTTGCTTGTGTAATTTATAAAGAAATGGTACTCCTTTGTGTTTCTGTAATATTATCCTGATTCTCAGTTCTTGCATCATTTCCACCTGTTCCTCTTCACTCCCACATTAACTGTTGTATCAGGGGTGTCAAAAAGTGAGAAAGTTGATCAGCAAAGCTGTTTTTCTGAGTGCTTTTGTTGCAAAAAATTATATTTACCAGTGCTGTGTTTTTTCTCCTTTTAAAGCATTCCATCTTGATTCACTGACATTACATTTAACCAAAACAATTCCAGACATAATTGTTGGTTGACTGATTTTATTGCACATGACTTAATCAAGGTAAGCACAAAGCATCATTGTGCATAATAGCGCTTTGGTTTCGCCAAGCCCTATTGAAATTAGAAATTCCAGATGGAAAACATATCTGCTGCTACTTTCAGATGAATGTAGGGATTTAATCTTCTGAAGAAGAAGGCTTTCACACAGCATGAAGGCAATTTTTTTGCAATAGATGGTGGTCAGTATCAGTGATCTTTAGCTGAAAACACAAAGCTTTACTGACATAATTTAACCACGACATTTGTATTTTTGTACCTCTCAAAACAGTCTGCAGAACGTCTGTGCTGAATATCTGCAAGGCCATCCAAAAAATTGCAGCTGCACTGCCAAAAACAGAACTCCTTAATGATCGCAAATGTCTATTAATACACGCCACAAAATACAGTTGTAAATACACGTGGAACTTTCAAAGTTACATTAAATAATAGTAGCTGAGGATTGCTGTGTGTACATTTTTATTCTGTTGGTTTCTATTCAAAGTCTAAATAAAGTTTGTTGAATTTGTGCCTTGCAGCCAAAGGGGAGCGGAGCGGCCAGGACACGGAGCACCTGGACTTTAAAGTGATGGTGGAGCCCAAAGACAGCCAGCCTTACACCGTTATCCTGGTGGCATCATCCCGACAGGAGAAGTCGGCATGGACAAGTGACATCAGCCAGGTGAGTCTCTCCACCTGTATTCAGGCAGGACTCAATCATGCTGATTTTACTTTAGACTGTCATGGTTAAGCTCTCAACAGATGAGGGAGTGGTAACACGTAAAATTAAAGCCGCAAGCGGCATTTGATGGGTCCTCGCCCTACGCTTGTCGGCCTTCCCGCACGTCGGAGTGTGGCGCAAATGTGCTCTGGGCGGGACTCTGATCCGGTGTGTCGAGTTTGGGGCAGATCAGAGCATGTGCGGCCTAGTTACGAGCCACTCAATGGCCATTTTTGAGCGATTTTGGTGAGTTTTCAAGTATGTTTAGGGCCTCAAAAACGCGTCTCTTTGCCATAAATAATAATAAAAAATCCTACCATTCCAATAGGGTCCTCGCACCCTTTTGGGTGCTCGGACCCTAATAAGAGCTACAACTGCAAATAACTAACATTAACCTTGATATTGTATGAAAAGAAACAGTCCTGAACTTACTTTAAACAGTCAGCCCTGAGAGTCTAATACAGGACAACAATTGTGGAAAACGTACCTCAGGTTTGTGAACTTGCTCGGATTCTTGCATCCCAATACTCACAGAGAGCCGTGTTTCCCTCCCTTGCAGTGCATCGACAACATCCGCTGTAACGGCCTGATGATGAATGCCTTCGAGGAGAACAGTAAAGTCACCGTGCCACAGATGATTAAGTGAGAGCCGGACACCACGCAGCACTGCACATACATTATACATGCACACACACAGATTGGCATTGTCATTACATAAATACATGACAAATGCATGAAAGATTCATGAACAAAGGGCACACAAACTCACATGTTTGTGCTTCTGCCCTTGTGAGGACAATCGATGACATACATATATATATCCCTAGGCTCCAAACTTAACCATCACAACAACCTTGCCCCCTTAGACTGATGTAAACCTAATGCTAACGCTAGCACAAAAAGCAAGTCTTAAAGCTCTGTGTGAAAATGCACACAGCCTCTACTAGAAAATGTTGGCCATTGAGTACAACTCTCTGATGCAATACTTACCTACAATACTTTGCATGTTCCAGTGGCTGGAATGCATTTTCGTCAAACTGTGCTACACAACTCATTCTGACGTTATTGTGTTCTCTGAGCTGTGTCTCTCTGACCCACACATGACCAGTAAAGCATACCAACTAGATGTGTGCTTCATAAGTACGAGGAGCTAAATCCTTGTGAGTGACATTCCTTACCTCGCTTGAACTCCAACACAGGTCGGACACCAGCTTGTACTGTGACGATGTCGACATTCGCTTCAGCAAGATGATGAACTCCTGCAAGGTGCTGCAGATCCGCTACGCCAGCGTGGAGCGCTTGTTGGAGAGGCTGACCGACCTGCGCTTCCTCTCCATCGACTTCCTGAACACCTTCCTCCACTCTTACCGCGTCTTCACCAGCGCCGACGTGGTGCTGGACAAGCTCATCACCATCTACAAGAAGCCCATCAGTGCCATCCCTGCACGGTGAGTGAGCTGATCACGAGGACATAGATACCACTTACATCCATCTGTTAGATAAAAAAGCTAAGAAAATAGACCAACCAGACTAACTGTAATTAGCATTTGAAATAATTTTTTTGTTTAATCAACAGAAAAAATGAAGTCTCTGCATGCTGTCTGACAAACTTATTGTCATAGCAAGACTTCAACAAGTAACTACACCTGATTGAAAAAACAATCTGTCACATTTTAATAACAGGCTTGTAAGCATTTGTTGCTACCTTCAGACAGAGAGTTTCAAATCTTTATGCTAAACCTTAAAGCTGTCTTCTGTGTACCTTTATATTTGCCAGACAGATGTCTTCTCATCCTACTCTTAACAAGAAAGCAAATTCGTGTATTTTTTTCCCCCCAAATAACTGCTTTTTGAAGCCAACTAAACTGTGACCAGACCTGAGCTGTTGTGGTCAAAGACAGTGCATGATTATTCAATATGCACAAGAGCTCCATTTGGAAATTCATGGCATCGAATCAAATCAACACCTCACATACTCTGAAATAGGCGGCCTGCACATATCTAACCTGAAGTACTTAAAGAGGCGAATAAGTTCAAACTGTTTTAATTGTGTTGTTTCACTGCTGTGTACCAGCAACCTTCTCATGTGTTGTGTCCATAATTTTATCTATTCCTGCACATTCCCAGTTAGCTTCTAAGTGGACAGCTTCAGACAGCAGAGCTACGGTGTTTTGTTACATTAAACTCCTACAAGCACCTCGCTGCCAGGTCGATCCCTGCAGCTTGTGACAACTGAAAAAAGGAACAAAGTTTTAAGATTTCCACATATTTTCCTCCTGAGGATGCAGCAACGGTGCTGTAATGGTGCAGTGAAGAGGTGGGACTTCCCCGGTGTCTGAATTAGTCTTTGCTCTCGTGTGGACTGTCTATAAGCAGCCCATCATGCTATCATATCCTGTCCAGGTGAGAAGGGACTGGAGAGGAGGCAGTGAGAGGTCACACCAACACATCTTCTGTCCGCCATCACAGTTAATTGGGTCCTGCGTCCACCCACCTCTCCCTAACCCCTCCTCTCCTTTCTCATTCTTCTCCTTACCCTTTTCCATTCTCTCACTTTTATTTTTCTTTCCACAAGTCTGACCATCCCTCTCTCCGCTGCGCTGTCACCATGGCAACCCTTTACTCTGCTGCAGGACCCCACCCTCTCCTTCTTTCCTCGTCTTCTCCCTCCCTCCCTC